AGCTTCTTTAGACAATGGTATTGCCTCTGTTTTAGTTGCCAGGTTTAGCTGGTGAATTTAAATACGAATACTAGTATAACTTGACGTGTAGAAACAAGTTAGTTTGTCTTCAAACATTCACTTAAAGCTCACTCAAGGGCTACACCTTAATTATACTAAAACTATACTGTTACGTCTCCGTTCGTTGATTAATTTTCCGTAAATTCGTTCCAACGAAACTTTAGCGATACAAGTCCTTTCATAAATAAAACTGGTTTATTCTTTCTGAATATAACTTTGCGATACACTTAATTTCAACATCGCGCTATAACAACGAACGTCTCACGTGCTCAACTTCAATAATACTCAGTTCAATTACACACTCTCTGACTGCAGTTCAATTACTCATTACCTCTCTGTTGTTCCGTCACGTTGTGAACGTCTTATATATACCAGACTACCCTCAATCTAGTAGTCTCCCGATAATTCACGAAGGTTCGAGAAGGACGTGGCGTGATACTAGTCACGTGACCTCGCTGACGCAACAATACAAAAAGCACATGCCACAGCCAAGCATACATTAGTGTTACATGTTAACAATAATTAACATATGTCACAAGCCAATCAACAATAAACACCTTGTACAAAGCAAGTAACTGTTGAGTTACATCATACATTATATTTTAAGATTTAACAAAATGATTACACAAAACACAAGTCTTGATAAAAATGAATAAAAACTCTATAGCGTTTTTGTTCATTTCTATCAAGACTTCTTGAACCTACATGTTTTTCTAACATCACATTTGTTACTATTATGTTATTGTTTTAGATGTTTTAGTTATACTTATTAATAACTGATACGATTTATGTTCGTTAATAGACATCATAGTTAATTGAAAAATGCTGCTACTCACATTTTGTGCAGTCATATTGTCTAAGCTTAAAACTACAATGTATGATTTAACTCAACAATCAGGTACTCTGTATAAGTTGGTTATTGTTAAATGGCTTGTAATACAGTTATGTTAATTACTGTAAACATGTGATACCAACGTATGCTGAGCTAGAGAATGTACATTACACACTTAATCGCCAAGTTTGATAAAAAGTTTTCATTAGTAGAGTTCTTTATATTTTTCTAACCTAATACACTGAATATTTTGATATTACAAATATAATGATTTACATTTTACAACAGGAATAGAATAAAACTTATAATAAACCAATATATCACACACTAATTAGTGCAATAAAGTTCAACAAGACCAAATAAAAACAAGTAGAATTAACCTCATTAAAGCAAGAGATGGTAGCACATTTTCTTAAAAACTATATTCTTCTACCTTGCAGGAAGGGGATCATGCTTTACATTCATTTATAAAGATCTACTAAACCTTATCATCCTCAAAAACTCTATCCATCTCGCACTAAAACTTTTGTCAAAATATGATTTCATTGTTTTGAATTTTCCCATGACCAGTGCCTCTCAAGTGAAAACTATGAACTATCTGCATGTCTACCTCTACTTCAATTCCTCTCCTCAGTTGTGTAGTAACCCATGTGTTGAAATTAAATTTTAAAAATCATGCAGTGAAGCATACAATAATATGCCCATGCTTAAATATAAAAGTGGTTACCATAAAAGTGAAGAAAGAAGAATCAGATGCTGTTTCTAAATTACCAAAACTGGACTTGTTTTATACAAAAAATAAAAGAAAAAAAAGAAGGCATTTTTCACAGTTAGTATGGACACAAAGCAAGAGATCTCAAAAATTGATCAGATAAGTCAAATTTTCTGACATGCTAACAAAAATGTGAAAAAAGGCCTTCAGTTTTTAATTAAAAAATACAATTCCAGTAACTTAAAAGTCAGCACGAAAGGTATTCCTAATGATATCACAATAAGTGAATCATTTCTTGGATTTTGCCAAATAACTTAACAAAGTGTCTGTGCTTTAAAATGAAATAATTAATTCTATTGAAAAAAAGGAATACATTTAATGAAATGTTGTGGGTAAGGGTATGATGGTGCTTCTTCTATGAGCATTGTATATTAAAGTGTACAAGCAAGAATATATATTAAAAAAAAACTAACACTGATTATGTGCATTGTGCTGCACATAACTGGCTTCTGTATCCAAGGTTGTTCGAAACATAACACTGAAAAAACTATACCCAACTCTGTGGTCTTCTACACACAGTTCTCTAGTTACTTTGAGATTCTGATATTTAGATATTTTAAAAAGACTATCTATAAAACTTAATCTTCTCAGCAAAATTCCCAAAGAATGAACCGAAGCTTACAGTTCAAAGAAGCAATTAGAAGAATTTGAATTCATATTCTTAATGATATTTAAAACTAAATTACCAATGCAGTTTCTAAATGCTTGCTGAGTAAACATATATAACTAGATAAAGCTTTGAAATTACTTAATGATGCTATTGCATGTAAGGGACAGTTTTGATGAAATTAAACAAATGGCAACAGAAATTTCTATCTAGTGGCATGTAGATCTGCCATTTCAGTACAAACTCATAAAAAAGGTAAGGCATTTTGACAAATTTTGTGGAGATGAGAAGCTAACTGACTTAGAAAAATATTTCAAAGTAAATGTATTTTACAATTGTTTGGATATCATCACTGCTCAACTAAAAAAAAAGAAAAATTGAATCCTGCCACAGATGGTGAATTATACAAAGGAGAACTGCTTTGGGTCAATCATCATAAAAAAGAAAAAAAATATATATTACTTCAGTATTTTTTGCTCAGCTGCTTTCTTTACAAACATGTCTCAAATCAGAAATTATATTATCAACAATTTACCAATTAGCAAATTCTATATAAATAAAAATTTTCAGTTTTGCATTTTGCAGTTTTTATGGGCATTTTTTTTACTACTACCTCACCTTCTGTGGATGGTTCTTCACCAAATTTAGTATGGAGGTTCATTGGGTCCATGGGGAGATATGTACAAATATTCAGTTTTGCATTTTGCAGCTTTATGGCTGTTTTTTTCCCCCTACTTTATCCCCTGTTGATTGATCTTCACCAAATTTGGCATGAATGTTTGTTGGGTCCAATTTTCAGTTTTCATGGGCACTTTTGAATTTTTTACAATTACATATAAGGGAAGCAACTTTTCATGTCCCAAGATAACTTTTCATTAATCATTAATTTACATAATTTCTATCCAGGAGACAGGTACTCCAGCTAGTTATTAACCCTACCGACACAGGTCAAAGGCCATGTCATAGCGTTTGTTGACTCGCATTCAAAATTGTATTGAACTACTATTTTATGAATGTATGTCAATAAATTTGATATCAGATTGTAGATTATAATTCAAAGTTTAGCATTATACATTAGTTAATTTCTTAATTTAAAAGTAAATGTAAAAAAAAACCCTAAATATTGATTTTTGTGTGTCACATGGTATGTTGAATGCAGTATTGGTTCAAATTAGGTGTTTGTGATGTCCAAATACAGTCTACAGTTTTTACGAATTAGATACTCAAATCACTGATACTGACAAGCTAGAATGTAAAATAAAAATCTTCTTTCTTTTCTATTTTCTGAGATATTAATATATTTATTGAATCAACCAAGGTGGCTCTCTGCCCACCTCTTCAATTTTTGAAAATACCCACTTCAGTACACCTACTTTGCCAAGTGATGTGTGTATAACCAATGGCAAACTCTTTATTCTCATGCTAGATTCCAAGTGGTAAGGTAAGATATTAGTGAGCTCAAAATTAAATATGTTTTTAGACCCAAATACAGCTTAGTTACTGAGCTTGATAAATTATAGAGGAATTCTATGGTACTGATATAGCAGTTTATAATTTTTAACTTTTAGTTATTTCAAAACTTGTATATAAAACCTTTAAAAAATTATTTCATTTCACATCCTCCACGTACAAAAAGTTTATGTGGCTTAGCAAAAATTTTAAATTTTATGCCTTAAGTCACCAGAGATCATTCACAGCAAATGTAAAAAACAAAAATTTGATCATTACGTCTTACTTCTTCAAATTCTTTGTTTTAACAATTGAAATGAAAATCTGAAGTTTGAAGAGGAAATTTTAAGATTTATATGATAAAATAAAGAAACAAAAACTTAGAGATACATACTAGCAATGGTACAGCCTTAGAAATGAATAGTTTAGACTGCAACTACTACCAAGGTTTATTTTTTTATATACAATGTGCACAGACTAGCCTACAGAAGTATAACAGTAGTACTAGAAGTCTACTATAAATATAATAACTGAACCTAAGTTAGGCTTAATTGGGTACTTTTGCACCTTGTTCAAAAAATAAGTAAAGACCCAAAATTAAAAAGTCAGAAATTTATTGCATTTACCCAACTGCTGGATATGTATTTTCCTTTTCTTCCAGAACAAAACTGCAACCTGTTCGCTTCAACGTCAATTCGAAATATACTACAACTTTCACAAAACAAACAACCACGTCAAAATGGCGTCACTTTTCGTCTTATTCAAACACTTAAGCTAAAGTTTCTACTCAACATTTCAAGTTTAGATGTCAATTTCTGATAACGAAGCGCGAAAACAAATAGTCCGCCTATTCACACTCCTTTTGACATTGATGGTTGCTAAATAGATAAGTCAAAAATGTTGAATAAAGTTTTATTTTTATAATATTATCCAAATTGTGAATATTATCCCTATAAATTCTCAAAGCATTTAAATTTTTTTTTTGAAATTTCTGTCCTTAAATTAAACTGAAATTGTGGTCAGTGTGTTTACGTTAAAACATCAACATGTTTTTTATTTTATGTAAATTTTTTAAACTACGTAATGCTGACAGAAGTACGGTGCACGTAATTACGAATAAATGACACAGCCATGAACCATAGATTTTATCATACATTTAATTTGCGAATAAAAGCTCATTATCATATTCTGGGGCTCACTGTTGTTACATTTATACAGTGAATTATATTTCGGAAGCATGGTTCATTATTCTTAATCTTAGTAAACTAAAAGCATGCATAAGATTGTGAAAAGTCATAACAATATATTCTGTTATTGAATATCTCGACCACTTCGACATCTTCATGTAACTTTACGAAATCTGTGAACGTAAAGTAGTGTGTATAATAGTATGTCAGCCACCAGGGTTGACGAGAGGGGGGGGGCATCTACCCTGGGGCTCGGAGTCTGTTAAGGGGCCCGGCAGTAAGATATTCCAAAGCTCACTAGAAATTCATACTATTTAACGAGCTAAAATGGCTACTGCTTTTTCATTGATTCATGAAGAAATTTGTCACCTAAATTTATTTTAGGAAAATCAGCGAAAGTTAATAAATAGAATGAAAGGGGGCCAGATGATATTACTGCCCCCTGGACCTGGACTGGCTCTTGACACCCCCTGTCAGCCACACTACATCTGTATATCCAATGCCGACGAGGACTTTCCCTTAATACCTAGGTTCTGCAGGTCGGCTGGAACACGCGAGACACAATAAAGATTGTGCGAATATTATATTAGTAAACCTCTTGACAACAATTGTTACAGTACGAACTGGATTAAGTTGCAGAATTGTGACTTTTCATAAATCTTGTTTAGATCGGGACACAACATTAAAGCTGAAACGAATGGTGAATTTTACTATTGGAATATTCGCTTCCAATATTCGAACTGTATTAGAATATTTGACTATAAAAACAGTGAAGATATTAGACATTTAGCACAATTATAAGACAATATGCTTTAATAGTGGTTTATATATACATACTCTAACTGTTTCAAAACAACTTTTAGAATAGGTACGACATGAAGATGAGACAGTGGGTTAATCAAAAATTGTACTTTTGTGTTCTATACAAAAAGATACAAATCACTTTTCAAGTACCAATGGCCATACTTAAAATGGTTTTAAAGCTATTCCTCTATATTACTTCTATGAATGATATTTATTAGAGAAAAGTTCAGTTCACCTAAGTAGCTTGACAAGTGCAGGAATTCCCCCAGATTTGAAAATAGCTAATAGACCTTGACGATGATGAGACAAATTGTGCAAGGTTCCTGCAGCACAACGAGTGGTTTCTAAGTCATTAGATGTCGACATAGCACGCACCAAGGCTGCAACCATCTGTGGAGAATTCATTATGGCATGTCGAGACGCTTCTTTTTTTGAAAGTTGATGGACCATCATGGCAGCTTGGCTAACTACAACTTGATCCTCATCATTAAGAAGTTTGATCAATTCAGGGACAGCACGAGTTGCTAGATCAGCATCATCCTGAAAAACAACACAAGTTACTCCTAAAGAACACAGTCTTATAATAAATAGTACTTTGTATTATGATAGTGATTTGATAAAAAAATTTAACATTATAAATAAAAATGTAATAAATCATAAATATTATTCTTCTGTAGTTATTATATACCTCTTAATGCACAAAGTCAAATACTAAATCAGCTGACTACATTGCAGTATTAAACCAAAGCTATATATTAACACTTATAAGAAACTTTTCCCTCCCAGCATGTTTTTTTTTTCTTATGAAAACTTAACTGAATAGTGGATTTTGCAATTCGAACATTCATTATCCATACTGGAATATTCAACAATAAAAACAGTGAAAACATTACGTCTTTCTTTATATATACATATATTTTTACCTTATTTACTGAAAGTAAAAAGCAATTACTCACAATATTAAAAATAAAAAATTCTACACTGTGTACAAGAGTTTTCAAATACTAAGTACCATTTAGTAGTGGCTTTATCATCAAAATTATCTGCATTTAGGATTCGATTTTACTGGTTGTCTGAGACGACTAAAAACTTTGAAAATTCTAACTGACCAGCTGACTATATTATTTTGAAATTAAATAAAATAGTTTTGTTTCCACTCATTCTTAAGAAGATTTATCTCATTTAGATACTTCTGATAAACATGAAGGCCTATTGTTATTTCTTAGTAGGGTAATGAAAATAAGTTAATTTGGCAAAAAAGTGCTTATAAAAAGGTGCGAATAATGTCACTAAAATCTTCCATATATTACACAACCTTATGGACTAAGAAAGTATTTTCAGCCACAATATAGGTAAAAATATTTTTCTCCTTGGAGTTGCATTTAATTTTCAATCACCTAAAGTACTTTGAAACATCAAAAATAAGCTTTAGTGATTCAAGATCTTTATAATAAAGTAACAATAATTTCATCATAAATTTATAGCTAAAGAAAATGGAAAAATAAATCTTTAGCAAATTACAAAAATACCATGTATATGCACATATTCAGGGTTCCTAGCACTGTCGGCTAACTAAATTTAAAAGATTTTTTAAGACCAACCTAAAGACAAATTTAAGACACGTAACATGTATTTGTATGCTATTTATTGGATCTCATAATACTAATGAAAAATACACCATCATTGAGAATCCACTCATTTATCATGTGGAATACTATTTCAACTTCTAAAAAGCCAGTAAAACTTCGAAACTAAAAAAAATTGTCAAGCAGCAAATGTATTGAGCACAGTAGGCTTAGTCCCACCAACTGCATTAGCAGCACTGCATATGTCTATCATAACAAGCCAAACTCAATTTAGTATTTCTGGTCCAGGTAATAGGCCTAGACAGAAAAAATGCACAGCAAATTCGATTTAGTGCTCCCAGTTTTGTGTAAGCCTAGATAGAATGAATTCAAAGAATTGTAATGCTGTTAAGCATAGGTGCAATGTGGAACAAACCAAAGTTACAAAAATAGATATTGCATCAATACCCAAAGAAAATAAATTTAAGACCTTTTTAAGACCTCAAAAGCCAAAACCTGTAAATTTAAGACTTTTTTAAGGTCTTAAAAAAATCAAGACCAATTGAACTTTTTAAGGACTGCTAGGAACCCTGACATTACAGAAAAAAGTAGATCACATCAACACATTTGTCTTGCATATTGATAGTTGCTAATTTTTGACATGACAAATGGGAAAATAATAAATCTGAAAAAGAGTAATATTACTACTCATAACTTAATACACATGCAAGTTAGATAAAAATGAAGTTTCCAATTATTAATTTAAAAAACTTACACAATTAGCATGTTTTCTTAAAATCAATCTGAAAAGTTATCGAAAAAAATATGATTTTTCTCTTATTGTTTAGACTCCCACAATGACATAATAATCCATCTTAAATTCAGGATACTGTATAAAATATTTCAAAAAAGTATTCTATAATCTAAATTTCTTAATGAGCTATTTGTGTCTTGTGCAGTTCCATAAGAATGGTCAACTTTTAAGTTGAACATTTAAAGTAAAATGTACATGTGAACAAACAAGCAAAGTTGAAAACCATCTCAAAAATCAAAGCAATTTCTTTTGAAAGCCATGTAATAAAACACACCACATTACATTACAAAATTATATTACAATGACTGCATTGACCAAATTAGCTTAACACAATTTATCTGACTGAAAAAACTTCAAAACCTCACCTGGTAGTTGATGAGATTAACTACAGCATGCTTCAGCATCTGAGAAGGTTCTGACAAACGCTGGACAGCAGTTGGTTGGCTTGTGTCAAATTGGGTTGAGGGTATCTCAATGCCTTCTTCCAGTGTTTCTGGAAACATGGCAGCTCGCACTCGCTGTGAACGAGTGTGATTGAGTTGTTGGTTCATATCTTGTTAAAAGAAAAGGCAAATAAATAAATTTCTGATGATTATCATATCCACATGTAGGAAAATTATCAATGTTTATTGTAGACACAAAGGACAACCATACAAACATTAATACTAAATTACATGCAATGGTAAAATAATGAAATTTAAATATCATTAGTTGAGGAATTTAAATATATATATATATATATAAATAAAATGTAAAATACTAAACAAAACTGCAAACTTCTAATTTTATAATGACTAAAAGAAGAAAAATGAATATGTTTGCTCTAAATTTCCCATTTCTGACAAACTTTGGAAATTTGTTTTTGCTTGAAGCACAAACTAATGTATCACTTTAACCTACCATCCACTTGATCTTGTGTAAATCCAGGCTGAGTAAAACCAGACTGATTCCAATCAAACACCATCTGATCATTGTCCATATCCTCTTCTCTTCCACTCAATGAGGCAGCCTTATGTTAAAAGTGCATAATTAGTTGTACAATGTAAAATTCACATTGCACCGAATAAACAACACATATTTTAATAACCTTAAGCAAATATAATATATAAAAACAAACATTCATTTTAATAACCTAAAGGAAAATACTGATGGATTCTAACACAAACCAAAACACATTAATATTAAATAAAAAATACAAATATAATACAAAACTTGATCATCATCCATAAGATAAACACATCAAACTTCAACTTTTCAAATACACAGTACATTTAGAATATATTATTAGAAACAAAATGTTGGAAATAAACCCATAATAACCTGAGTAGTTGCCCCTGAATGTATGCCTGAGTCACCCAAGTAAGTGTTCTGCTGCCAAAGAATTGCCTGTTCTTTTGGATTACCTATTGGCATATCTCCTGGATTGTTGTAGTTGCCATGAGACACTGTAAATATAAACAAACATTTTAACCTTCCAGTTTAAAAGTTAGTCAGGTTTACTCTATAACAACACTATAATTTATGTTTCAAACTTTAACTCAGATTTTTTCCCACCCATAAAATCTTAAACTTTAACTTAGAAATTAGGGCTCAATTTTAATGGTGGTCCGAGACAACTAAAATCTTTCTTGGATGATCAACTTAAACCCTCATGTTGTCCAACAGACAACTAGTGCCCCTGGAACAGACCCTTACTCAAAACAGCATCACAGTCTACTGTACACTTATCCATGCCCACACTACACACGTAATGTTGGCTCCTATCCTTGACCAAAATCATTAGTAAATCCCCTAACTACAAACTCACAAATTTAAACCCCCACCGAGTAATTCATTTCTTATTTTTCAACTTTTTACTTTACATTGCTGGTTTTGCTACAGTTAGTGTTAAGGTAGAGAAATGACAGATGAAATGGATATTTTTACTGAAAACATACTTGATATTCACCTAGAATGTTCTATAGGTTGTGCTACTGAAATTTGAAAACTCTAACACAAGAAAAGCGTCTTTATTCATAACATGAAAATCATCTTGCACTTGGACTGACCCAGTAAAGGATTCACAAGTTCACAGACAAATATTTTGTAGAAATACTTTATTAACACATCTGATTTTTCGTGTACAAAAGGTATGTAATGTTTACTAAAACATTTTCAAATTTCATAAAAATATACTTACTACATTAGAAGTTAATAGAATGTAAAATTTCATGGTTAAAAAGTTGGTAAAAATAACCAAGCCTTCATAGAGTGTTAAACTGAATAAGCTTGAATTAGTCAAAAACAAAGGAAAATCATAATAGTAATATTTCAATTTCTGAGTAGTTGGATTAATAAAGAAAAAAAATAGCCCAAAATACTAATTTTGATTAGTTGATTATTTTCGTAACATAAATCGTAATTTTGATTACTGGAACAACCAGAAACAGTTTATTTTCCATGACATTAACCAATGCTTATAAGAAATGAATTATATTGATTAATCAAATTAATCACACTGCTCTAGTTCAAAAATCTTTTAAAAATTAGTATACAAGAACTTACTTGGGCGACTCCCAGGTGGAGCTGGAGACTGCATCTGATAACTCATGATTACCTCCAGTTAGGGTGTTCCAGTCAGTATTTGACAAAACCAGCTAAAATTAAAAGGAAAAAAAATCAGTGAACTAACTTAATGGTTGGTACTTACTTGAAGAAGGCTGACTGACATTTTTAATGAATTACCTCTTGCCACCTTAGTATCTTGATGCTTATAGTCTTAAAACATTTTATGTGATCTCTAAATAACCTAAATTATAAAAATGTCCTGAAAAATTCAGATTTAGAATTTACTTTGGATACAAATTTTACTAATATTTGTTTTAGATGAAGTAAGTAAAAACAACTTCAAGTGATAATTCTAATTGTAATTCCACCTCCACCCCACTCCAACTGTGTAAATAAAACTTTGCAACATATGAAACATTGCTGCAAATCTGTGGTAATGTTTACCTCTGCCACTGAAGATAGATAGAGGTTATGATTTCGCCGTGCATATGTAATTGTCACCAAGATTTCTCAAAAATGGCTGAATGGGTTTGGATGAAAGTTGATTTACATTTGGACTATGACGAAACATATGTAGAATATTATTCCTCATTGTCCTGCTACAAAAGGTCCATATCCATTAATAATGATGGGCATATGGTCATATTTTTTGAGAGCTGAATATGATCAATGCTGCATGGTGGAAGTGCTCTACTGAGTGCCCCTCTAGTTGTACATGTAATCTGTACATATTTGTTTATTTCTTCTAGGTCAAAGTTTAACAGTGAAAACAATAAATTTTTAAAGTTCATGGTGTCTAAATACAAAACTGGATAAACTATGATATTTATTTCACAATTCCAAACTTCTAAAGTTAACCAACTCATAAACATATCACCTGAAACTGGGAATATATTTTTTACAATCTATTTGCTGTAGTTACCTTTTTACCATATATGGACTGTAAATTTCCACACTTTTTAGTTATGTTAAAAACCTTTCTTAATCACATCATTCAAAAATCCAAATATAATAATTGTCTAATGTAAAGTTAATGAATTATATTGGTTCCCCTGCATTCTTATTTCATTAAAAGTAATTACATTAGCAGTTACTTCTCATCTAAAAAAAAACTCCCATTGATAATTTGAAATTAATCAAGTATTTATTGTGGTGGACTTTGTGGTGATCTCTTGTAACAATAATAAAACAATTAAGCTGTCTACAATAGCCTTGAATAACTCAAGACACATCAACTATTCTAGGAACTGTTTGTTAACATACAAAGACAACTTACATAGGACAATTCAAGTACATTGGACAATGACATTCAGTTGCTAAGTGGAAATGAAGACAATCACCATAATGAACACGTATGTACACTAATTCAATTTACATGTGAAGCTCAGGCACCAATAGATTCAAATCTACATAGTAATTCCCATAGAAAAAAATAGTATAAATGGGTCAAATGTTTAAGTAAAAAGTAGTTAGACAATGGATTATGTCTAGCATGTATCTTTTATGCAATCTGATATAATTTGATCTTGAAAATTCTTTTGAGATGTTTTGGTCCTGGAATTACTTCTTTTTGTAGGAATGGTTAAACTTGTTAGTATTGATTTCCTTTCTTTACCCTACCTTGCTTTCTTGATTACCATATGCCAAAATTTGGAGGCAGTCTGTCACAATTGCCAAAAATTTAACATTGTTACGTTGCAAGAGCGCTACCATCTTCTGGAGCCCTCCGGCTAACCTCACTGCCATCTTTGATCCTTCCTGATGTAACAAGAGATTGTGCAAGGTAGTGATGGCATAAAATAAAACTGATTCAACAGGAGAACTGAAAATAAATAATGTTTCTGATAAGCACACCTTCATCTAATATGCTTTTCTGATACCAGTTTCATTGCATATTATGAAACTATGTCATAGTCTCTTGATTTACTAAACCACTATAAATATGCTAATTTAAGAATTTGAATTTTCTTTCAAAGCACTTTAAAAAATATTTCTTTTTGATCATGATATTAAGACAAGTCAGCATTAGAGAAATATTCATTAGCACTTTTGCAATGGGCTCACATATTTTACAAGAACCTTGTATCCACAGTGGTATAAATAGTGTAATTCTGAAAGTACTTAATGTATCTTCACAAAATTTCAGTATACACCAAGTCTTTTGTAATCAAAAAATCTAAATTTTTAATTAAGTATTTTTATTCAAAGTTTATCTATAAATATATGGAATCAGAAAACTGACTGTTCATATTGCAAAGTGATTTTCATATTAAGATTAAAATACTTTTCTTCATCTGAACATTTTCAAATTCAATTTGCATAATCACTAAAATCTTTTAAATAAATATGACATTTTTTTCCAGAAAAACTATATTTTATCTGTTATTTTCTCTACCTTAACTCTATACAGCAGTCTGTCAAATAAACTGACCTTGTAATCACCATAAAAAATTAGGAAATAAATCTAAATTACCCTTTTTTTCTTTCTGGAATGATTGCAAATTTAACAGTAACCCACAACTGTTTATACTAAATAGCTTATAGCTTTAACAGTATACATCTATTTATACTTAAGTTTATTTACATTTATAATAATACAGAATACACATGAAAAACAAGAAATATAGTACATACCTGGGCTTTCTTAATTTTGCTGTAAATTGTCAATGAAACTTAAGCCTATTTACTTATATTAATGATACAACACTAAATTTTATCTCTCTCGCTACAAGCTCAGTCGATTTGACATAAAAATTGACCCCAAATTGACCTTTAGAGTTTCCATGCTATAACTTCAAATATGTTTTGCGTATCTTCACAAAAGTTTGCAAGCTTTCAGTAATCATTAAGTGTCATTTGTAGACAAAAAAAAAATCAGAATTTTTAATGAAGTACTTCCACTAAACATTTCTCCATGAATATATCGAATCAAAGTGTTTACTGCTCCTACTGTAAAGTGATTTTCGTGTTAAGATTAAAAAGTTTTCTTTATTTGTAAATTCTCAAATTTTATTTGCATAATCTCTAAAACCTCCTAAATAAATTTCAAACGTTTTTTCCAGTAAAACTTTATATTTTATCTGTTAATTTCTTTATAAAAGAGGATGACCAATTGAACTGACCTCCTAACCACCATAAAAAAATATGAAAAAAATCTAAATTACATCCCCCCCTTTTCTTTCTAGAATTACTTCAAATTGTAACATGAAACTATATTTGTTTATCCTAATTAGCTTTAAACTCTTAATAGTATACATCTGTTTCTACTAATTATCTAATTAATATTCCTACCATACAAGTTTAAAATTATTTGGTGAACACGGTGAACATGTAGGTCACGTTCCACTATTGAATTATATAAGGCATGTGCTACTCGCGAGCATACCTCCTGAAAAATTTCTATCAATATTATTTTTCTTGATTTTATCTAACCTAAAAAGTTACTAACTTTTACATTTTAGTTACTTTTATAATAATGAATAAACAATACACAGGAAAAACAAAATACAGTACTAACCTGGGTCTTTTTCTTTTTTGCTATCGACTGTCAATAAAACTTAACTAATTTTTTCATACTAATAGTACTACTAAAGTTTTTATTTAATTAAATAACAAAACAAAAGTATACAGGATAATAACACAAAAATCAGACAACGTCGTATAACTATCACAATTTCTCTGGCTTTCTATCTATGAGATAAGATCCATTAAAAATTCAGCTAAGCTCATTAATGTGTTTCCTGTGGGAAAAAAAAGTTTGGACTGGAAGCAAAATAGAAAATTCTCTGTAAGAAATCAATGTAATATAATAAGGCATTTGACAGATTACAACTTTGACTTTCTATTGGTTATAAATAATATAGTATTAAACACCAGAGAGAGCTATTAGCAATTTGTGAAAGAGAGGATATGACAGGTGGGATGGCAAGAAGGCCTGATTTTTTAGTTTATGGCTCTGTAACTAAATGATATTAAAGGCTATAAAAATCATGCTTTGCTTAAGCAATGACATTATTATAATGAGTAATTTACATTAAATTTTATACTCCTCAGAGGAGTGGTAAATAAATTAGAGAGGAGAGAGGAGATACCTAGAGTAAATGTCACAATTCTCATACTAGGGGAATTGAGGATTTCTTTAAAATATTGGCTTATAAAATTCAGAACTTAAAACTTACAGACATGCACAGAAAATGATGCCCATAGCAAGAGGATTAATTAAATAATGCATCTAACAAAAGAGAATAATAACACAGAAAAAACAAACAATGTCCTATAACTCATAATTTTTCTGGCTTTCTAACTAAGAGAAAAGAACATTTAAAAATTCAACTAAGTTAGTCAATGTGGTTCCCATGAGAACATATAGACAATACTCTGTACAGAAAACAACGTAATATAATATGTCATTTAATAGATTAAAACTTTAGCTTTCTATTCATTATAAATAATATAGTATTAAACATCGGAGATAACTACTGGCAATTTGGAAAAGAGAGGATGTGACAGTTGGGTCTGATTTTATAGTTTATGTCTCCAAAAACAAATAAGATTGAAGACCATAAAAAACTATGCTTTGCCTGAGTAATATCTATACATAATAAGTCAATTTCATACTTCTTGGAGGGGTGGTAAATAAATTAGAGAAGAGGGAAGACAGAGAGCAAATGTCACAATTCTCATACTAGGGGAGAATGAGGATTTTGTTTTTAATATTTCCTTATAAAACTAAGAACTTAAAACTAATACAATATTAAAGTAGTTTAAATAATGTATGAATGTAACTCCTTAAAAGGTTGTAATGTGCACATTTTTACCTACTCTGAGGGGAAAAGATTAAGAAATAAAAACTGATGACCACTCCCCAAGTTTTGGGTACAATTATATTACAATTATTAACAAGTTATTAAAATATATACAATTGATTCATGACTTATAAGTGAATATTACAGTACTTAAATCATTCTTGAAATGTCAAGAAAAAAAAAGCCATGTTGGTAATCACCACAATAGTTTATTATTGAAGATGTTAATATTTGCAGGCAAATGCATCATTTCTGCCACACAATCCCGAATACAGACAATTTTGATAC